TTTTTTTTAGAGTTTATTCTACAGCATGTGATTTTGATTTAATTTTTTAATCTTGCAGGTATTTTTCTTCAAAATTGACATCGAGAACCGGGCTCACAACTGGTTTCCACCTGATAATGTCAAAGACATGTTTTCAAATGTAAAGTCTATTTTCAAGTTACACAAGGATTCCCTTTTACCAAAGTTAGAGGAGAGATTGAAAGAATGGTGAGATCCAAATATGTAGTATTTTATTCTATGGTGATGTATGTGAATTATATAATTCATGTGTCATCATTGGGTCATAGTTTATAATTTGCATATATTTGCATATTTACAAATACATGTTGTAGTCTCCTCAGAAAAATTGGTAAGTTTTCTTTTCTTTTCATGAAAATATGTGCAGCATTCAGTCATGAATAAATTTGGATAATATGCAATATTTGGATAAAATTGTTAAAAAGTCCAATACTTGTTATCTTTATTTTCAAATGGTGTTCAATTATTAATCGGAAACTACAGAAAAATACAGAAAACTTAAAATTTTGGTAATTTGGTGCAGTGGATAGTGAGTTGAAGCATATTTACAAGGCAGAATTTGATAAGTCGTAAAAAAAACTGTCAACAAATAAGCTGCTCTCTGATTGGTCTAACTGTTAGTTGTTAGAGTTTGGGTAGCCAATCAGATACAAAATTGTAAGTAGTTTCACAATTACTCATTGACTGTATAATAAAACAATAAACAACCATGGAAGGTGTGTTTACCACAAGATTTTGCACAATCTCAACATATACACACGAGCGTCATCAAGTAGGTAGAAGTGGATTATGCAAAATCAAGTGATACCGGTAGCATACAGCAGTTATAAAAACACACAAGTTGTGGAGCATATTTGCACCCATATTTCGGCATTGCAAGGTTTATGCTAGTTGCTTCTTAGTTCCATCATTGATATACACGTGTATGTAAACTCGTCTCAATTAACATATTTTTTTTTAAAAAGTACAGAAGCTGATTATTTGTGTACATACATGCATACAGCAATGACTTTTTTGGCGTCGTTGGTAAAATCCAGAGAAATTAATTGTCTCATTTTTAATATTTTGAGCCCAATATACCTGATATAGTTGCAGGGTTTTCAAGGTTCTATTTCTGTATCTATGGTATTTTTGCAGACTTAAAGGCCCAATTCACTTGCCCCGGGCAAGTGTGAATTGGAGGTGTGACTATGCTAATGAGTGTTGTTAATCACTTGCATAGCCTATGACGCACCCTGTTTCAGCGGTCCAACATCACGTGACTTTGATTGACAGTAGTTAATTATTCCAGATTAGTAGCGTGTCCCTTTCCTCGGTTCGAGTTTTTGACTTTTATCCGCCAAAATCTCAGCTCGTACACTATTTATTGTCATAAATACTACATACAGTCACTGCTGTGATATTCATAGTCACATGCATCCACTTTGGCACGACATAATCGACCTGTAAGTTCGAGAAAACGCGCTATTACCGGGGCTTGGCTGGAGCTGTTTACTACAGCATGACAAGCAAGGAAATAATCCCTATTGTTTAGGACCATATTTATAGTATACCTGGGCCTTTAAGTTTACAGCATGTTTCCCCCTAATGTTATTCACATTCAAGGGCCTGCTTCTAAACATGAAAAACTGTGGTATATGGTGTATTCTACCACTGCTTGCATATTTAAAAACATGCTCTCGCCCAATCAGAACAACATATTCGGACAATTGCTGGACAGGTATATTTTTAAAAAAAATGTTAAGTTGGAAGGCAAACAAGGATAAATATGTAAATTTAAACACTACATAACAACTGTATCTGTTGTATGCTGTAATTTTCTGTTCACAAGAAGCAATGATCCGTAAATCGTAAGTCAATAACAGTTGGTGGGGTTTTGCCTACACCTATTTGTTGGCAATTTAATTCCATTCTGTGTTCCATTTCTCAGGTCATCTAATCCGAGGCTTGGTGATTTGATGACCACATTTGCTCCATATTTTCAAATGTATACGTCGTATGTGAAGGAATTTGAACGCGCCATGGAACTTTTAAATTCTTTGATGGTGAAAGTGCCCGACTTTGCTGAACTTGTTCGGACAATTCAGGTATGTTTCCATACAGTGCCATGTCATATATTGGTTCAAAAATGGAAATACACTTTTGTTAAGTATAGTTTGTATATGAAGACATTGTAGTTGGATACATCAAAGATGACAGGCAGAGCTGTAGGTATAGGTGATATTGTCATTGTTGTCATCCCATGTCAACTTTTTACATCCGTTGTCATCGAAAATAACAGGCGGAGCTGTTGGTATATGTTGTTGCCCGTCGCCCCCATCACCTTTGTAGCTCCATTGTCTATTACATGTAGGTTTAAACATTTCATAACAATATCTTGAATTCTCTTATTTTAGCAATTTTTTTTTGGTGAAAATGCTATTTTTGACTTTTTGAAATAATTGAGCATGCCCTTAGACTGAGTTATTTCAAACATCAGGTCACATGTTCTTTTTATTATAACATTTTTAAAGCTGTATTAGACTTATTCCCCTTTTCTACTTCATATGCTGCGGGAGTTCTTTCTGTTTTCTTTAATTCTGTCATTATATTACAGAAAGACAAAACCTGTGGTAACTTATCCTTGCCTCATCATATGTTAGAACCTGTACAGCGGGTACCTAGATACCAACTGCTGCTTGGAGGTATGTAATTATTTTGTATCATTCACATACCATTTACACATAGCCTTTATTTACTGAACACCAAATGGACTGATACAGTGAAACCTATCTAAACTGAACACCAAATGGACTGATACAGTGAAACCTGTCTAAACTGAACACCAAATGGACTGATACAGTAAAACCTATCTAAACTGAACAACAAATGGACTGATACAGTGAAACCTGTCTAAACTGAACATCAAAGAGACTGATACAGTGAACCTGTCTAAACTGAAAACAAATGGATCGATACAGTGAAACCTATCTAAACTGAACACCAAATGGACTGATACAATAAACCTGTCTAAACTGAACACCAAATGGACTGATACAGTGAAACCTGTCTAAACTGAACACCAAATGGACTGATACAGTGAAACCTGTCTAAACTGAACACCAAATGATTTGATACAGTGAAACCTGTCTGAACTGAATACAAACAGGACTGATACAGTGAAATCTTTCTTAACTGAACACCAAATGGACTGATACAGTGAAACCTGTCTAAACTTAACACCAAATGGACTGATACAGTAAAACCTATCTAAACTGAACAACAAATGGACCGATACAGTGAAACCTGTCTAAACTGAACACCAAATGGACTGATACAGTAAAACCTGTCTAAACTGAACAACAAATGGACCGATACAGTGAAACATGTCTTAACTGAACACCAAATCGACTGATACAGTAAACCTGTCTAAACTAAACACCAAATGGACATATACAGTAAACCTGTCAAAACTGAACACAAAATGGACTAATACAGTAAACCTGTCAAAACTGAACACCAGATGGACTGATACAGTGACACCCATCGAAACTGAACACCAAATGGACTGATACAGTAGACCTGTCTAAACTGAACACTAAATGAACTGATACATTGGAACCTGTCTAAACTAAACACCAAATGGACATATACAATAAACCTGTCTAAACTGAACACCAAATGGACATATACAGTAAACCTGTCAAAACTGAACACAAAATGAACTAATACAGTAAACCTGTCAAAACTGAACACCAGATGGACTGATACAGTGACACCCATCAAAACTGAACACCAAATGGACTGATACAGTAGACCTGTCTAAACTGAACACTAAATGAACTGATACATTGGAACCTGTCTAAACTGAACACCAAATGGACTGATACAATAAA